GAATATGTTCCCAATTCATTATTTGTAGGTGAACAAACTTGTAAAAATAAATCCCAGAATCTATTCAACAATAAGAATAATGTATCAGGAGCCCAGGACCATAGGATAATCCCCTGTTGCATGGTGTACCCCCCCCTCTCCTGGTGGTTTACCCCCTGTGAAAATCTTTCCTGTAGGACCGGACCTCAATTGAGGTAGGGGTTCTATTTCTATATATATTTCAGGTAGGTCTATCATATAGCTGGCCCAGGACACACATAGGATCCTGCTACAGGAACAAAAACATAGAAAATCGCATTTTTGACACTTTTGATGTTTTCAGTATCTTAGTCTTGCATAAATAATACAACCTGTTCATATATCATTATCATAGTATATATACTTGCTTTTTGTCACAAGGATCAGCTCAAAATAGGCCAGAGGTTTGAGTTAGTGTGAATGCTTGCTATTTCTACTGATAAGGAGCCCATACTTTCAATACATCGAAATTTAATAATCAGACACCTGGAGTAGATTTTAAATATACTCAGTATCATAGGCCTAAATGTACAGAACAATCCAACAAGAATTGAGTGCTGAGGAAGTGAAATAGATAAGAAATTGAGTGTGGGAAAGTTCAAAGACCCAAAACATCGAAAATGGTCAGTTGAGCAATAGTAGGACTTTAATGCTAGGACAACTCAGATATACACCACATCCCTTCCACCACCCTTCAACCTCAGGGCAGTATGTAGTATAGGTTCCTTTAGTAGTCTACAATGTATCCTACATATTTGTAATGAAAGATTTGACCTGTATCATATATAAATGTAACTTTGTGTGAAAAGATGGCAATTGTCACTTTTCACACATATGTGATTTTACTTGTCATTCGGTCAGTCCTTGATGGATCTTTCTAAAACTTAAAATCTATCATCAGGGGAATACATAGGACGTATCCCAGGTCTTTGATCACTTATCATAGGCTTTATTACTATGTAGGCTTCTTATCAGTAGAAAAAGCCCCTGTACATCATATATCACATTTGCACCCTATGTAGGGCTGATCCTTGGCACAAAACATATTTTTGAATGTACTACTGATCATATCTGAGCAGGTCTGGTCATTTGTGCAAGAGTAAGATACTGAAAAACATCAAAAGTGTCAAAAATGCGATTTTCTTTGTTTTTGTTCCTGTAGCAGGATCCTATGTGTGTCCTGGGCCAGCTATATGATAGACCTACCTTAAATATACATAGAAATAGACCCCCTACCTCAATTGAGGTCCGGTCCTACAGGAAAAATTTTCACAGGGGGTAAACCACCAGGAGAGGGGGGGTACACCATGCAACAGGGGATTATCCTATGGTCCTGGGCTCCTGATACATTGTTCCTATTGTTGAATAGATGCTGGGAATCATTTTTACAAGTCTGTTCACCTAGAACTAATTAAATGGGAACATATTTTGTGTTTTCCTGTATATATGCTGTATCTAATGATGTAGGGCGCTTCAGGTGGTCAAAAATGTGGGGGATCTCTTCATATACACTCATAAGTGTGTCCTGGATACTATAGAACATTTCCCTATCAAAGGGGCAAAAGTGTGAACATGTTCTGCAACCTAGGCTATGTTAAAATGGACCTGGAGGGGGAGCTGTCACATGGATACACAAAAAAAGTGGTTTATTATGTTATTTTATACATGTATGTACCAAACTACTATTTAGATACAAGGGGGGACTTATTATGGTGTAGTGGTGAAGCTGCAGTGAGGTGGGGAGGGTGTGGGAATAATTGATATTGTGGAGATTCCCAAAATGGCCGATGTTTTTGGTGTTGTGGGGAAATTCCCACGGTAGGTGGCCAAAAATGCGTAGGGCATGAGAATAATCTAAGAATATAAATCCCTATTATGGGATCAGTGTGATGCAGGCACCATTATGCATAAAGAAGGATGATTTGGGATTAGCAACAGCCATGCATAATGATAATGCCTGTAATCAGCCAAAATTATGCATAACCCTGCCATGAACAGGTGATGAAGGGGCGGAAGGAGTAGGGGAGGATGCCCTGGGCATGGGAGCCGTTGGGGGTGGAGAAGGAAGTGAAAGAGAGGACAAACGAGGAGATGAACGAGGGGGAATGGGCCGAGATGATGAAGATCGAGGAAGGTTACGACGAGAGCTCATATGCGAGCAAGAACAGAGGCACAGGATCCAAGGAGCTCACGAAAGACGACTATATGCGCAAGTGCACGTAACAGGGGGTAAGGAAGAAAGACACGTCAGGGGAAGAAGGGACGCGCGTCGTCGAAGACGCAGTGTTTTGTAGCTCCGACTCGGCTCTGTGGCGTTTGGTTCCTCACACCTAGAGTCCTAAACTACTAGTAGATCAAAACCTTCTCCTACGGTTGTCTGGCTTCCATAGTGTTAGGGGTTAATCATCACTTGAACTTCATCAATATCTAGCATGCCACGCGTAACTTTCAATCACGACTTCACTGTGTCCGTTGATGATGGTCGTATAATAGACTTGCGTGATTCATACTGTTCCCCCAAGTCTATGCAAGCAAGTGTTTCGCTTATGGGGTCTGAGTAGTGATGTGCACGGCCCGGCCCGGCTCAAAAGCCGGGGCCACGGCTCGGCTTGATGGGGCTCAGGCTCACTGAGATTGCAGGCCGAGCCTTCCTTGACGGCTCAGGCTAGGCTCGGCTCGGCCTAGGCTTAGGCCGCGGCTTGCTATGCGAAAAATTGTGTGATATCATTAACGGCTGTCGAAAATGCATGGGCACCAACGTACATGAAAATGAGTCCAAACGAGTGCATGCAAGTCCAGATGAATGCATGCAAGTGCAAACGAGTGCAGACAAGCCCAGACGAATACAGACAAGCCAGGGCAAGTCCAAACGAACGCAGACAAGTCCAGACGAATGCAGATGAATGCAGACGAGTCCAAACGAGTGCAGGCAAGCGCAAATGAATGCAGGCAAGTCCAAACGATTGCAGGCGAGTCCAGATGAATGCAGACAAGCCAAGTCAAGTCCAAACGTTTGCAGACAAGCCCAGACGAATACAGACAAGCCAAGTCAAGTCCAAATGAGTTCAGGCAAGTCCAAGCGAATGCAGATGAGTCCAAACGAATGCAGAATGAGTGCAGGCAAGTACAAGCGAATGCAGACGAGTCCAAACAAGTGCAGGCAGGCCCAGATGAATAGAGGCAAGTCAAAACGAGTTCAGGCAAGTCCAGACGAATGCAGACGAATGCAGAAGAGTCCAGACGAGTGCAGGTAAGTCTAGATGGATGAGAATGCCGAGGGACAAGCCATAATGAACCAAAATGAGGCCAGGCAAGCCCAGATGAATGAGAACGACGAGGGACAAGTCAGAACAGGTGTACACAAGCTGGAATGAGTGCAATATGAGCACGAGTGTGAAGATACGAGTGGTGAATGAACAGGATACAAGCATGAATGACCCGTTCCGAACAAACAAAGTGTCACGTGCAACGATTTATAAATGAGTATGTGTAAGTGAGAACACGCAGAATTACATACGAACAAATGCAGATGCACGCAAACGAGCAGAAGTACTCAAATACTCATCTATGATCTGCCAGTGTTACTCCCATTGAAAGCCGTGGCTCGAGGGCCCGGCTCAGGCTTACAGATACCTCAAGCCGGGCCTTGAGCCCTTATGGGCCGTCCTCAAGGCTCGGCTTGGCCCGGCCTAAATGGGCTCGGCTTGGCTCGGCCCACGGCCTGAAGCCGGGCTTTGCACATCACTAGGTCTGAGGATGCTGCTCGTCAAGCTATGCAGGATTCGTGGGACCTCGCGAGCCAACGCCCGCGTATAATTGGTGTATGTGCCTATCTTAATTTCAAAGAATGTATTCTCAAATGTTTTTACAGCTCAAACCGTTGCCCAACTCACTTGACGATGATGTCCGGGTCCATCAGTTGTTTACCGACTATTCGGTCCGTATCTGGGGTGTAGGACTCGAGTCCGAGCATATGTATCACTTCGATTTTGTCGATCCCTGCACAGGTCATCCAGTCAATCTGCCCCCTAAGTGGAATATTTTTGTTGCTCCTGGCATACTTCAGCGTTTGCCGTTTGCACCTATGATGGACTTTGTGATGCCAGTGGGCTTGCCGGTGCCATCAATGGAAAGGGGCAGCGGCTTAAAATTCCGTGAAGTTCTTCCAGGAGCGGAGAAGTATTTGTGCTCTGAAGGCACGAGACTCCGCGTCGTTTCTCCCGAGGGATGTGAAGCCTTCTTTGAGCTTCCGGTTCGGGAATCCATTCACATTGAGGCGAACCAAGTCATCGTTATCCGTATGTCTTTCCTTTAAGCTCAGCAGCGCAGCTCACTGGATTGTATAGCTCACTTGGATCACAGCGGAAGCCATAGTAGCCCCGACGTTATGAAAGATGCCACTCCCAGGGCAATGCATATGCGGCGTCTCCTGCCGTCTTGATCAAATACTGCTGAGTTGTACACGCTAGTAGGTAGGTAGCAGTTTTCAGAGGAAAAAGGTTGGCTTTCAGCCGAGTTTTTATATGTTATCGTAAACCAGCCTGAAAGGCCTATGACTCGCTAATGTAATTTTAGGAACGTTCTAAAATCATTATCATACTTAGTTGCCCTCCTGGGCTGCTCGTGTGCTTCACCTGCTGGATGCCTGGATGCTGGATACCTCGCACTGCCCTTGAGCCCCGAAAACCTCTCCACCGCCATGCAGTAGCATCACTCAAATCGCAACAAAAGCCATGGCATCATGATATGTAAAAACCCCGTCAGATCTGATGAATGGGAATATGTGAGATATGTGTAATGACTTGGGGGGTATAGATAGCGATATGAATATGTTGATAGATAGTTATCAAAAGGAATGCGTGCGCATGAAAGGAACGCGTACTATGAAAAGAACGCGTGAAAGAAACGCGTACTCGTGAAAAGAACGTACGCAAAAAACAAAGCAAATCGTCCGTCCGTCCGTCCATCCATCCATCTACTCGTCACGAGTCCCCTGCGTCCTCACTCTCACTCTCCCTTTGCAACACATGCTCTTCAATAGCTCTACACTGCGATAAGAGTTGGACGTTCACCGCGCGGCCGCATGCGTTGCGGATGAAAGGAGTCTAGGGAAATCAACGTCGAGTCAGAAAAACACAAGAAACGAAAATGGAACAGAACGCACGTTCAACAACTCATTAGCATTCGGCCGCGAAGCATACGGTCTTGAGCATAATCTCAAAAAATCATGAAATCCGCGGGAATAAAGCTCTGGTTGACGGAGAGCCGGCCATTGGGCACCGATTTCGCGCGGGTCCTGAACGTCTGCAAAAGGCGGTTCTGTTTGAGCTAGTTCCCATACCGTTGCACCTAGAGACCAGACGTCGACTTTAAGCGCATTATACGCTCCACTGCAACATAGATGAGATGAGCCTCCTAACAGCAATGAATGAATGTACTCACACTCGCATCTCTGGAGCCTATTAAGCGCACAGACCACGATACATCAGCACAAACCAAAGGCGAAAAGCTCGTAAACACGCACCTGCCAGTAGATAACGCCCACAGCACCAAAACACATCGGAGAATTTCTCGTCACACGCACAGCATTCGAGAAATCAGCTATCAAAAAACAGCCAAATCAGCATCGCTCCATCAAAAGATGGCAACAAAATAAATGATAATCGGAGTAGCAACAACCAAACATATAAAGCGCCACAGTGCCACTCACCAACTTTTACGATCCCACTCGCGTTTAAAAGCAGATTATCAGAACGAACGTCTCGATGGGCGATACAGTGCTTTTGGAGATATTCGAGCGCGAGTAGGACCTGCATTCATTTATCGGTCAGCATCCATCCCCTATTCATCCACACACGAAGAATAACACTCACATCACTAGCAAACCTCGCAATCATCCTCTCATGCATCGCCAAACCCTCACTAACAAGCCCCACAACATCCGCCAAGCTCCTCTCCATCAGCTCCATCCGTATCCACACCGAGTCGTCCACCAAGTTCACATAAAACGCATCCATGCGCAATACATGCTCGTGCTGCACCCCACGCATCAACTCCATCTCGTGTCTCAGATCTTGCAGCTTCGGTGACACAGCAGGATGCACAGCAATGGCTTTGATGGCTACGTGAGTCGTTCCTGGGGGTAGATCGAGCGTTTCAACAGGAGAGACCACGCGTGCGGCGTACACAGATCCGCTCTCGCCTTCTGCGATTTCTTGGAGGTCTGCAAAGTGCTCTTGGGGATCGACGTCAACTATGAATTCAGATAGGGGAGAGACGGCGTCTGCAACCCATGCTGGTAATCGCTGCGATTGGGACTGGGCCTTTGGAACAGAGAGAGCGAGCGTGAACCCTTCTTCGCTGTCACTATCTCGCCCTCCAACTCCAAACGTATCGGTAGTGGATGTGAGAAGCGCAGCTTCAGGAGCAAAACTCTTCTCCCGGAGCGGCGAAGGCGGTAGGTGCAACCTGGGCGTGACGAGGGGCGCGCTTTCCGAAGTGGACCCCGTATCGCTGCTGAAATGTGAGCTGTGTGGGGAACCCTGTGCAAGAAGGGAAGTGGTGCGGAAACGTGCAGCTTGGCGTGGAGTGGTGTCGAGATCGGGGCTGAGAGGGGGTTCTGGCCATGCAGGATCCGAGTCTAGCACCATGGAGGCGCCGTCTGAGCCCAACACCATAGACCCGGCGTCTGAATCAAGCGTGATGGAAGCCCCGTCTTCTATGTCATCTCTGGGCGGCTCGACAGCATTCAACGACACAGAATCAGAGTCTAGGACACTGGCTGTTGCCAACGTGATTGCCACGGCTCCGCTCACGCTCACAATCGTAGCGGGCGTGACCGTTATCGTTGATAGCCCAGAATCGCGGTCACCAGCGGGTCGTGCGGGGAGAAGGATCGAAGAGGACCTGCGGTCGTCTGTCGTTGAAGCGCTCGTCATCGAAGCACCAAGCCCTTCTCTCGACGAAGAAGCCGCAGCTGGAATTCCCAACGTCGGACTGTGCGATGATACAGTGACCTCGATTCCTGATGTGGGCGGAGGTGATGAGGGTTTCTCGAGGTCGGTTTCTTCTGCGCTGGGATTCTGGGAACTCGCACTGGGAATCTTCGGTCCAAGACCAAGACCAACCCCAAGAGACGAAACATTCGCACCAAACGAAACATCCGGCAGCACAGGTACATGGCCCTCCTTTCTCCGATCAACCTCTTCAGGAGGCGTAGGCGGAAGCTCTCTCATCGGCGTGCGCAGTATCGGAGCAGGAGGTATGCTTCTTCCAGGAGTCCTTGACACCATAACGCGCAGCGGAGCCCCAAGCGTGATATTGGCTCCAAAAGACACATCCGGGAGTGTCGGTATCGTTGACAGTTCTGATGGAGAATGTGAAGGCGCAGATGGAGAAGGAGACGTAGAAGGTGTTGATGTAGACGTTGATGCAGTAGGCGAGTGGGATTTGGAAGATGATGGGGTTGATGTGGTACGGGATGATGTTGATGGAGAGCGTGATGGTAATGGTCGTGAGGAGAGTGTGAGACCAGGGAGGAGGCAGTTGCTGCTGCTCCCTTCGCCTCTGTCTATCAGGTTGCTGGTCTGCTTTGAGCGAGTTGAGAGTGTGCTCCCGCTTCCGCTGGCTAGCCGATTAGCTCCGCTCCCGTTGTCTTCTAGCCCACTAAGCAGTCCAGCTCCCCAATCCTCAAGTCCCAAGTCTGAGCTTAGATGGAAACTCAGCCTCGGGGGCATCGCACCCACTTTTGTCAGCCTCTTGTCAATCACTAGCGGTGGCGTCGGATTCATATGTCTATTCAGCAGTGCCGGGTCGACGCCTGGAAGGGAAAGATCCGTGTAGAGCGAGGAAGAAGTCGTTTCTGCAGCAGCAGAGATATCCAAAATGGAATCCACATCTTCCTCCCGGAACTCTGGTCCAACTTTTTTCATCCCACTTCCTTCCGGTGCCTTGTCCCGCGCGAATCCCGAGGAACGGACTGGAGAATGGTAAGCGGGCGGTGGGGATTCGTCGCTTGCGTTCGTAACGTGGAAGACTCTGCGAGGAGGCGTGCACGGCGAGGCACTGTGTATGCTGTGCAGATTTGACAGATCTTGGTGCTGATGCGACGGCGGCAAGCTGTGAGAGTGTACGAGGGGGCTGGGGACATGTGCCGAAATGGGCTGATGGGGGCGTTCAGATTGAGTACGGGCGATGTGAGGTGGGCTGCTGGACACGGATTGGGTGTCGAGGGGATATGGATCAATCATGCTCTCGTGACCTGTGCCATTGACAAAGACATACTGGGTATCCACGGGATCTGATTCGACAGCAGAGTTGGAGTGCGAGGAGGAGGTGGCGGTGTATGAGGATTGGCGGGAGGGAGGAAAGCTGAAGGAGTTGATGGTCGGGGATGGGGCGTTGATGTATGCACTTGCTATGAGGGTTGCGTTTGATGAGCGTGCTGCAAAGGAGGCGTTTGTGAGGGAAGAACTTCGTGGTGTTGGGTGGTGAAGGAGGGAGAGTGGAGAATCGGGACGAGATGATTGGTTGCCTCGAAGAGCGGTGCGGCGGGAATGAATGGCGGCGATTTCGTCGTCGGTGAAGCCAGCTTGAGAAAGGGCATTGGACCATGAAGGAGGAAGTCCTACGAATCTGAAAGAGAGTTAACGAGTCTGCTGGTAGAAGGGCATAAACACGCACCCCTCGTCGACATGTATATGATGCTGATGATTGTGAGCTAGGATAGCAGTGAAAGGCAGAGGGGACTTACCTGGAAATTCCATGGTCCAGAGATGGCTTCATCCTCTTGAGGTGGTTCTGGATCTTCTGTTTCGATGAGATTCCTTGTTGACCTATTACGCTTGCCCATTGAGGAGAATTTAAATAAGTTCCGCTTTGATTTTTGGCCGCCATCGCTGTCAACGGACATTGCAGGACCAAAGGAACGTACTGAAGGAGCGGACTGGCTTGAGACAGGTGAAGAACGTGAGTAGTCGGGAGTGATTGGTGTGGTTGGGACTATGTCGGCAGGAGGGGACAAAGAAGTTACGCTTGGGCTGTAAAGTGATTTACTGCTACCATAAGGGCCTCCGTGTACTTGTAATCCTTGTTGAAAGTATTGATCATCCTTGGGTGGAGGAGGTGGTGGTGGTTTGTTGAATTTGAATACTTTGAGAGTAGAGAACCTGGAATTGTTCTTGCTCGACATTCTAATACATGGACTTGCTCGACGTTGAGAATGACGACGACCAGGACGACGGCGACGGCGAAGGATGAGGTGACTGTAAAGAAGGGTGCTTGTAATACGTGAGTGGCACTACGTACGTGACCTATGGCCTAAAGCGCCTATCGCCACCGTGGCCAAACTTGAACCAATCTTTTTTTTTCTCAAGCGAGATTTTATAATGTCTCGTTCTTCTATGTAGTATAGCTAATACAACGTTCTCCGCATCAACCAGCGCTCATTTCATTTCAGTTACCCCCAGTTGACATGGTGTCACGCGGAGTATCACGGTTTTGTCTGCGAGGGCAACCAGTCCTGCCAGTGATGGCCGCTGCATCCACCGGGCCATGACGCAACTTGGTCGCTAGTTTTTGATCGGATGTAAATTCTTATTCGCTGAGTACACTCTAATCCGCCTGCAATACGTGACTGAAGGGGTTCTCGTTCCTTGAAAAACGCCTTGAATGAAGGAGGCAGACCCCGGATCACAAGGAGGCATTCTCTCCCCGACATTCTCAGCGCTGGCAGTGCCACCGGGCCAGCGTCTTAAGCTATTATTGAGGCTCCAGCTCTTCGTGACTTCATTTCAGACAGCGGGAATTTACATCGGATCAATATGTTTTTCTATTAGGGTCCCATCCAGCGCCAAGATAGCACAGTTCAAGAACATCGTTCACATGCGCTGCTAAGAATCAGGCAGCCTTCTGTCTCCGGAGGTATATCCAACATATCTCATTGTGGAAGGTAAATTGTGAGTCCCTCAGTACATAGCCACGCAACTCGTGCCTTTCCTCTAGGTCACTACACAAGTCCCTATCTCCCCAGCAATATCAGTATTCAACATATAGAAGCAATGATCCTGGAGGATATCACCGTAGAGCTGAAGAAAAGTTCGGAAGCGTTTACCGACACAGTAGAAAAGGAGTTGCAGTTACATAGTGAGTGCTAACGGCTCTTGACGTTATCACTACTGATCATATTTGTTAGCTGCAGAACCATCATCTTTATGGAAGAGTCGGAAGAGCCCGAACTCGAAAGGGAGAGGAACGAGGCATTGGCTCGTGCTGACGTCCATCACTGTCACTGTTTTGACACCTTTTTTCTTTCTAGACGGCAGATCGGTTTATTAAAATTCTGTCCCATGAGGTCAAGATCGTTCGTCAATCCAACGACGAATATAGGTTTTGAATTTTACACCTGCAGAAAGTCAGGGACAGGATCCAGGTGGAGCAAAACGCTGTTGTCGCGGCTACTGTCGAGGAGGTCAGGGGCAAAGCCACATCTGATGCTGCAATGACATGAGAGTCTAAGAAGCTCGAACTCGAAAAGTTGAGAAGACGAGGCACTAGCACGTGCTGATGTCGGATATTTTTTCTGCCTGTCCATCACCGCTCTGACCGCTTTCTTTTCTTTCCAGACAGCTGGCAAAAAAGCTGTCCCATTGAGGTCAAGATCGTTCGTCATTCCAACGACAAACATTGGTTTAGAATATCAGACCTACTGGCAGTCAGGGACAGGGACAACTTGGAGCACGTTGCTGCTGTCGAGAAGGCAGGCAGTGCTTCTGTAATCACCACCGAGGACCTCTCGGAAAAGAACAGAAGCCTCTGCACACAGGTTGCTACTACAGCTTCCATCTCTGCCCATGACGCAGCCTGAGCGCGACAGCGCAATCGGATGCGACGATTGAGCGTGGTGGGCCAGAACCGCAGGCAAGGAGCGATCCGCTTTTAGACCTTGGACCAGACTGTAGCATGTACAGTGTAACCAGCGCGTCGACCTTCAAGGCACGAGCCCCGACTACTACTACAGCTTCCACAACACGCAACTGCGAATGGAGAAAAAGCACCTACCAGCAGTGTAATATCACTTGGCGTCACTTGGCGTCACCAGGGCTGTCGGAGTTGCACCGCGCGGCACTGTGAGATATATTAGTTCACTAGGTACAGCTCTCGGTCCCAGTGGGAGTGATGTTCCAGTATCTGGAGTGAGAGTCAAGACATGAATCGTAATGACGATCCGAGGGAACTTGCGCACACCACTGCCGAAAGCCTGGGAGGCGTGGTCCACGCAGATTTGGTGCGGTCAAGGCCCATAATGTTGAACCATTGTTTGTAGGTCTGACCACGAACCACCCAGGGATGACATTGAAGACGGCGCTTCCATCTTGCTCGATTCAGACGGCGGGTCTATGGCGCTGAGCTCAGACGCGCCTCCATGGTGCTAGACTTGGATCCTGCATGGTCAGAACCCCCTCAGCCCCGATCTCGACACCACTCTACGCCAAGCTGCACGTTTCCGCACCACTTCCCTTCTTGCACAGGGTTCCCCACATAGCTCACTACGTTTGGAGTTGGAGGGCGAGATAGTGACAGCGAAGAAGGATTCACGCTTGCTCTCTCTGCTCCCAAGACCCAATACCAGTCGCCGCGATTACCAGCATGGGTTGCAGATGCCGTCTCCCCCCTCTCCGAATTCATAATTGACGTCGATCCCCAAGAGCACTTTGCAGACCTCCAAAAAATCGCAGGAGGCGAGAGTGGATCTGCATACGCCGCATGCGTAGTCTCTCCTGTTGAAATGCTTGGTCTACCCTCAGGAACGACACACACAGCTATCAAAGCCATTGCTGTGTCACCGAAGCCGCAAGATCAGGTGCACGTTTACGATTTTTCGCCTTCGGTTTGTGCTGATGTATCGTGGTCTGTGCGTTTCATTGGCTCCAGAGATGCGAGTGTGAGTACATTCATTTATTCCTGCTAGGAGTCTCATCTTACCTATGTTGCAGTGGAGCGTATAATGCGCTTAAAGTCGACGTCTGGTCTCTAGGCGCAACGGTATGGGAACTAGCTCAAACAGAACCGCCCTTTGCAGACGTTCAAGACCCGCGTCAAATTGGTGCCCAGCGGCCGGCTCTCCGTCAACCAGAGCTTTATTCCCGCGGATTTCATGATTTTTTGAGATTATGCTCAAGACCGTATGCTTCGTGGCCGAATGCTAATGAGTTGTTGAACGTGTATTCTGTTCCGCTTTCGTTTCTTGAGGTGTTTTTCTGACTCGACGTTGATTTCCCTAGACTCCTTTCATCCGCAACGCATGCGGCCGCGCGGTGAACGTCCAACTCCTATCGCAGTGTAGAGCTATTGAAGAGCATGTGTTGCAAAGGGAGAGTGAGAGTGAGGATGCAGGGGACTCGTGACGAGTAGATGGATGGATGGATGGATGGACGGATGGACGATTGCTTTGTTTTTGCGTACGTTCTTTTCATGAGTACGCGTTTCTTTCACGCGTTCTTTTCATAGTACGCGTTCCTTTCATGCGCACGCATTCCTTTTCATAACTATCTATCAACATATTCATATCGCTATCTATACCCCCCCAAGTCATTACACATATCTCACATATTCCCATTTCATCAGATCTGACGGGGTTTTTACATATCATGATGCCATGGCTTTTGTTGCGATTTGAGTGATGCTACTGCATGGCGGTGGAGAGGTCTTCGGGGCTCAAGGGCAGTGCGAGGTATCCAGGGATCCAGCAGGTGAAGCACACGAGCAGCCCAGGAGGGCAACTAAGTATGATAATGATAATGATTTTAGAACGTTCCTAAAATTACATTGGCGAGTCATGGACCTTTCAGGTAAATCGTCTGAAAGCCAACCTTTTGCCTCTGAAAACTGCTACCTACCTACTAGCGCATACCTATTTAATGAACACAGTAACTCAGCAGTATTTGATCAAGACGGTAGGACACGCCACATATGCCGCATTGCCCTGGGAGTGGCATCTTTCATAACGTCGGGGCTACTGTGGCTTCCGCTGTGATCCAAGTGAGCTATACAATCCAGTGAGCTGAGCTGATCTTAAAGGAAATTAAGACATACGGATAACGATAACTCGGTTCGCCTCAATGTGAATGGATTCCCGAACCGGAAGCTCAAAGAAGGCTTCACATCCCTCGGGAGAAACGACCCGGAGTCTCGTGCCTTCAGGGCACAAATACTTCTCCTCTCCTGGAAGAACTTCACGGAATTTTAAGCCGTGGCCCCTTTCCATTGATAGCATCGGCGAGCCCACTGGCATCATAGCGGCCATCATAGTTGGGAACGGCAAACACGACAGTGAGCCAGGAGCGATGAAAATATTCCACTTAGGGGGCAGATTGACTGGATGACCTGTGCGAGGGTCGACAAAATCGAAGTGATACCTATGCTCGGGCTCGAGTCCTACACCCCAGATACGGACCGAATAGTCGGTAAACAACTGATGGACCCGGACATCATCGTCAAGTGAGTTGGGCAACGGTTTGAGCTGTAAAAAACATATGAGAATACATTCTTTGCAATTAAGATAGGCACATACACCAATCATACGCGGGCGTTGGCTCGCGAGGTCCCACGAATCCTGCACAGCTTGACGAGCAGCATCCTCAGACCCCATAAGCGAAACACTTGCTTGCATGGACTCAGGGGAACACATTGAATCACGCAAGTCTATTGTGCGGCCATCATCAACGGACACAGTGAAGTCGTGATTGAAAGTTACGCGTGGCATGCTAGATATTGACGAATTTCAAGTGATGATTAACCCCTAACACTATGAAGCCAGGACCACCGTAACACGTCAAAGGAGAAGGTTTCGATCTACTAGTAGTATACTTATCTCACGCTAATTGTTTTATGTAAAATAATAGGCTATTATTAGTGACATGTCATTACGAGTTGCTTCCTCGGTCCTTCTATCATGATATCCCCAGGCCTAAAGTTCAGCCCAGTGGCATTCGTATTCTGCGACACAGAAAACACGCGCTGCAACTGCGTCGTTGCATTCGTGATCGCGCCCAGTCCCACGTCCTTCCACGGGATGTACACCTCCACATTGACGAGGCTCGAAACGAGCAGCAAGTATGCAGTGCCGTTGTTCCAGAGACCAGCGTCCACGCCTAGGTAGTCGTAGCTCGCAAACATCACGTTCGTGTCGACGATGAAGGGCTGGCTGAATTCTCTGATGGGGTTCGTAATGTTCGTCGCTGTCCTCTCGATGGTCGTGACGTTGCCAGTTGTGGTTGGGTATTGGTAGGACTTGGAACCTGGTGATGCATGTCAGTTTTTGTTCATGCGCGCGATATCGGCATGAGTTACCTAGAGCACCGTGGCTGAAGGATGTGAATCCAATAGCTGCCCATTTCTGCGGGGCGGCGCTCAACCCCCTGCTGGAACTGCCTCTGCAGTATCTATCATGGGTGCAGCTGGCAAGCGGGGTCGAGGAGAAGATCTGGCTGAAGCCTCCAGCGAACAAGGTCACCACCGCATCATAATGCGATCTTGTCCGTTGCCCATCTCCATCGTATATATGTAGCTGAACTCGCGCAGTACTTGTATCCTATCATGACTTTCACATATTGTATTAGTCTTGTCGAATCACAATCATACTGTGTCATTCATTCTCCATAAACCTTGGTGGGTAGAGGAAATCCCCCACCTCACAAGTAGTCCGCAGCGAGTGTCGTGTAGAGACTTATGGTTCAGAAATGAGAATCGAAGATGATTCAGTTGTCATAATCCATGGAATACATAAAGCAGATCAAGTTGAAAAGAGTGAAAACAAGACAGAAAATCTACTGACAAGTAATAGTCAACTTCCTCTTACTTGTCGGATAAGCGGGACAAAAGTAAACTTGTGCTTTCCTGGTAATATGTCTCTCCCTCCGGTGCCGCTATACCCTCCTCGAATCCGGTAGCATCCCTATGAGAACCAAGGGCGTCCTCCCTGCAACCGAGGGCCACCCAATCGCTCAGATACATAGCCTCGCTGATGAACGTCGGCATACGCAGCACAGTCTCCTTCTGCAGCTCGTTAAGCTCACAGCTCTCCGAGCAGAGCACGAACCGCCCCCTGCCACCCTCTCTCCCAGTGAACAGGCAAACAGTCGGCGGTCTCCTCGCTCGAAAATAATAGATCGTGCTGGATAGCGTCTCAACGAGGGTGTACATGTCACCTTTACCGTCAATGTGCGGAGCCTTCCTGTCGGCGATCGTGAATTGTGCAGGATCGCCGACACGAAATCGGCTAGATGGCTTGGGTTTGGAGAAGTGAGAACCGCTTGTTGCATAGCGCATAGAATGGGGACCTTTGATTTGTCCACCATAGAGATATTTTGAGACGTCATCGGCAGATAAAACGCCTTTCACGCCGATGAGCCAAGGCTCGACACGTCTAATCGGCGGAAATAGGTCGCTGGTGTGCGAGAGTGGAACAGAGAGAATGAGCAACAAAAGCGGGCTCAAAAAAATTGGCAATATAATGCTCAAGTTCGTAACGTCACCATATCCATCCGTGAAGTATTGAATCAGAAACGAAATACAGCTGATGAAGCCGAGCGAGGAGGTAGCAAAACAAATGACGCGTGTAATGCTCCAAAACTCCTGCATGCGTTTGTTAGGAGGTCCCATTAGAAACCTCAGTCGAGGGAAGTCTGTCCAATGAATAGTTGCAGCTCGACAGCCCTCGAGGACAAGTGCCCCACTCCCTGTAATGCCTGCAATCTGAATGTCTGTTGCGATGTCCCATAGATGAGCTCCGTAGGCATCGTTGTCGACATACCAGCTCTCGGACATGCATTTGGGAAGCATGGAGACCATGCGCTCAGCGATGCGGTCACTGTCGTTCGCCATGGAGAGCCTGGCTAGCGCCTGCGTTTCAGACTCGGTCTCCTGAGGAAGTATCCTGTGCTCAAAAAATCCCATGAGTGCATAGACTCTCTCGGCAGGCTTGGCTTTCGTGTTTTGAGCCGGCATCTGCAGCACTCCATGATTTCTACAGTCGCAAGAATCTGGATCATCGTGCTCTTGGACCTGCCAATGAATACTCTGTGGTGCTCCGCCATGGTTGCGACGCCAGATTGCTTTTTTCAAGTGGTCGAGGCGCGCCAGCCTCTCCAACGGATCTTTGTGCAGATCATAAGCGTTAAGAAGAGCAGCTTCATCCTCCGGCTGCTTGAACGCGAGTTTCGCGAGTTCTTGGAGTGACAGCCGGGTCAAAGGGCCATTCCCAACCTTGCACCACAACTCTCTGCTCAGACACGCTTCTGGAAAGGTCCACACACGGCTACCCCACTCCTCCCACCGTTCTTCAATGCTCCGCGTATCACCCGGGATATCAGGAAGCAAGATCAAGGTGAATCTCGCGTTCCTGTAGATGTCTGACATGCGGTACAGATCCGCCGGATATCCGTCTGCAACTCCTTCTCCATATTCCCGGGAATTTTGAACGCTGGAACATAGGAGATCGACCCAATATGCAGGTTGACTCGAGCACCATGAGAACAAGCTGACCGCTTGTTGCGATTGTCCGACCACCTCTTCTGGTTGCCCAACCGTCTCTTCTATATAACGATAGAACTGTCTTTTCTTTGTGCTTTGAACGTCCTCCGGATCAGTTTCCCGAAAGACATCTGTCCATCGGAAGGAGATGGTGAAGTATGGCCGACGCTTCAAATTCTCCTTATCATCTCTAAGGACCCAGGAACCCCCTTCCTGGCGAACCACAAGTTTCCGTGGGTGTATCGTGTGTGTCATAGAAAGCTTGTCCATGTCTCTTGAAGCGGGCGCCGAAAGCAGCGAGAATTCTTTTGGGGATCGTGCCGCCCATAATTGACCCACGAACGCTGGAAGGTAAGGCTCATATTTCTCCGCAAACCCTGGATCATTGTAAAATTTGGGGTTCACTATGCAGAGTTGCAACCATCTGAGAAACCACTTGCAAAACTCGGAAGTAGTTCTTGGTGTCTTGTTGTTCATCAGCCATACAGAGATGATTCTGGGCTTCGAAACGTGAGAGACAATTGCGACCTCCTCGAAATCCTTGTTGTGCTTGTTGGGCCTAACGGCCTGGACTTGAAGAGGCAGACAAGCTCCCAGATCAGTGTTGAAGTATCGCTGCGCTGTCTGGTCGCGGTGTGGGTACTTCAGGGCGACTGCATGGCAATAAATCTCCCGCTCCGGGTCTCCGAGACGCAAGGAATTGGACATGATTGTAGAAAAGGCTTGTCGAGGTGACAGCAACTATTGAATCGCAGTGTCAAGTTAGCCCATTCACCATGTTACTACTGGCACGAGCCCTTACCGATCTCAGGCTGTACTTCGCTCTGTCACCGGAAGGGAAGGACAACGATAAAATGGAACTTCAACTGCCAACTGTAAAAGGACTAGACAATCGTCAAACCTTAGTCGTAGACAACGGATTGAGGAAAGAGGTATAACCGAGAGAAAACAACTAAATAGTGGTTTGGATTCCTGTACAATGCTCCACTGAGCCACATCGCGTTGACGTATCTACTAGGACTGACCTTGTCAGTTGCTAGGAGGTAATATTGTTCCACAAAAAAATAAGAAATTGCTTACCACGGCATTGAGGCGGTGCCTAACGCAAGGCCGCCGAGATTAATGCACGCAAGTGATTCTTTGAAACTTTGACGTCTTGACAATCATGTCGCAGGTCCGATCCCCTCAGCTGAGGGCGGCCTCGCGACGCATCAACTCTTCATTTGACTCCTGCCCAGCTTCGCTCTTCATGCTGAGAACATCGCTATTTAGTATTAAACGCATTGTTGTCCAATAGTCTTGTGAGCATACTCGAGCTGGAGGTGTCTTCGAGAGGTATAACAGAAATCTAGAAGCCGCATAGTATGATACCGACAGACATGAGGCAGAAGTTGAACGAATGATATATGGTAGAACTAGTTAGGTGAATCAATATTTTATGATTTTGATTTGGCGTTCAATCACATGCGAGTAGACGACTACGATGTATATAGCTGAAAATTGAGATCTAGCTTACACCCTTGGAAAGTTAGTCTAGAATGACATGAATCATAATCCACTGATGCTCCCGGCCACGCTTTCAACTGCATTCTTAAGCTTGTGGGTCTCACGTACGACACTGTCGTTCTCATCTTCGGCACATTCACTGATGAATGTAGCGGTTTCTGCTACGAAGCCTATCATGAAGTTAGAATTATCCTCCTTGATGACATGAACCACACGGGTACGAACCGATGAGCTTCCCACCCTGTTCACGCCAGAGGGCTTCTGAGCAGGACAGAGCGAATATGCGCTCACGAGCATCCTCTGCGCGAGTGTGCATGAGCAGGTCAAGGTTGATCGACTTGAGTAAGGAATCATCCACTGCCACGCTCGTCATGGCAATCAAGCAGTTCGTCAGCGCCTGCTTCCCGTCTGCGATGTTCAACTTGATGCAACTCGAAACTTGCGCTATCAGAGGTTTCGCTACAGAGGCCAGTTTGTCGTCACGCCAGAATACTGGAAAAATCATGAGTGAGTGGTGCGGTGTGATGTAAATCGTGTGTTCTCACCACCGTCGTCATTTTCGAAACTCTTGGTGAGTGTCTCGACCGTTGACAACCACAACGATGGATTTTGCGCTGAACCCGTGGCCAAAGAGTCCAATATATCGCACAAAGCTTGCAGAAGCATTGACATGTAAGGGTTCATCAAGCCCTGCACCCAATTAGTAACTACATATTCGAAAGATGTGTTACGGAGCACACCTTGAAATAATCCAACAAGGCAGAGTACATGTGGCAAAACGTGATTTTACGCTCCATGTGTGCTGCACGATGTTCAGAGAGGGAAAGACGATTTCGATACGGAGTAACTCACCGCCATCAGCTGCGAATGCCCAGTCATACATACGGCGGAACAACGGTCTGAAGGCCGTCTCGTTAAGCTTCACAACAAGTTCCAAGAACGCCGAAATGATATGTGGTTCTCCCTGGCACTAGTTAGTCTCACCGCAGGTCACAACAAAGAGACTCACATCTCTGGAGCCAGTGGTAGATTTCATGTTCACGCCAAAGCCGTCGAGGAATACTGAGAAAATTGGACGGATATGCTCCTGGATGTCAGGACGTCGAGCTACCCGAAGGCTGCGTTTGAAAAAGGCGAAGAACGCGATGAGTCCATCAACATGTTCCTGTTCATAGGACGTCAATATTGGCAATGACATTCAACATCTCGCGAGGTACGTACCTTTTTCTGAGATTTTTCCAAACTGGGCCACAGATCACACAGCACCGGTAGTAGCGTGTTGCTTGGGATCTTCTTCGCAATAGCTTTCATCAACCCTGCCATTGGACCGCTCAAGGCGACAGAGTATTCCAAATGGAGTTTGACAATGTCCATGAGTTCCGCAGTACCGTAAAAAGCGGGAAGCGTCGATACCAAGCCCTGTAGGGTAGAAATTGCGCCATCCACCGAAGATTGAGCTATTCGATCAAAACGTTCAATATTTGCAATGCTGGGTTTACGTGGGAGACAGGCCGCTCACCCATTTTTCCACTCAATCCTTCTTGGAGGACTGATGTACACTCTTGCGCAATCTCTCGGAAGTAAGGAATAAGCCGAGGACCAAGAGAGGATCTAAAATTTGCTCAGTAACGTAGAACGCGAGGGAAGAGAAGGTCCATACACATAACAAGGTAACACAGCTATAGCGGATTGCAATGATGCACGTGCTTTTATGATTTTGATGACTGGAGGGACAGTAGATACTAATGCTGACTCCTCGCCAGGACAAATGGAGGAGCTGATTGCTCTCAAGGCATTCAGCGCTGAGTTCACTAGTGCACCGGCTGACTGGCGAGAAACGACGTCCCGGATGCAGTCGATAATTGACATGGTGGTCTTTTGTTGGTCGCGACGGACCGCTTCTGTCACTCTAGGTATCCTCTCTGCGAGGACTTCAAGAGCACCAGCCTTGATCTAAAGAAGAAAGTGAGAAAGCACCTCGTAATGAAAATGTAATCCTACCCTAGTCTCATCTGACTGCAGCATGACTAAAGCTCCGTTCAGGAAGTCTGCTGCTCCGATGGCATTCATCACTTTTGACGTGGCCTTTTGCGTAACTGACACAATGTCTGCAACATTGTCGCCTTCTGTTGTAGCAAGGTCAGCGAGGAGAGAAATAAGTTCCGTCGTTGCGTTGTCGCCCTTTGAGATATCGGTGGAGGGCGTGGGTGTGATGGCATAACCGACAAACATAATAAGCGCCTGAGCACGTCGCTTCATGATAGAGGACGATTTCGCAGAGTGCTCGTCATCGCTGTAATGAATGTATGAGTAAGGAAGTGAGAAAACTAACTGGTTCTCGTACTGGGCATAATCCAAAAAGGTAGCACCCGCCTCATCGGAAAACGCGATATTACGAATAAGCCTTTTCGCCTCTCGCAACGCTTCCTTGAGAACCTGCAAGACGTCAGCCATATCCAAAAGCTCCACAACAAACTTACATGGAGATGCAATTCTCGGGGGAAATGACGCATCAGGGATATCGAAAGTCCTAACGAGGTTGAGGCTTCATCTTCATGTTGCCGGCTCACCCGGTTGGCTACCCTGTCTACCAACAACATGCAAACTGGAGCCAAGAATTCTTGAGGCCCAAGAACATCCGCGAGGTGTATGAAAAAGCTGGCCCGATACATCAGCACTAAGTCACGAATGTCAAATCCTTGATGGACATACTTTTGTCGACGATGACGTGGGATATGGTTGGATGCGTCCGTGAAGATGCGCAAGAACTCCCTGGCTCCGATGTAAAGTTCGAGTCCAGAAGCGTGTCGAGATTTGAGTGATGACACCATGACAGGGACGATGTTTTCGATTGTCTGCAGGTGAACAGCAATTAGCCAATGCATTCCACAAGCCACAAATATATTTACGTTTTGCACCACTTTGAAACTGTATGAGTCGTCGCGATGGAACACGTTTGTGCCCATGAACGTGAAAATTGGCATAATGTTATGCAGCACCGAATCAGGCGTGAGTCGAGCCAGGCTTGCCATGAGAAGGAGTGCTTGATGGAACGTCTGCGGGTTTTCTGATACTGTGACAACAATGTTTCAGTTTTAAAGATACACAAAAACTCAAAAAGGAGATCAAACCTCTGATGATTTCGACAAGTATGTCCAACCGTATGGGTCTAGCAGGAGGTTCCTGATCATCGTAATCAGCAAGTTAACATATGCGCGCAATGAAATCAAATACCGTAATTTTACTCGCTGTTTGTTCCACAGCAGCCATCAGCATTTGACAAGGGTAACTCGTATCGGACGGAACCGGTGACTCGTAATGGATAATCTTGCCAAGAGTGTCGAGGAGCTGTGTGAGAAGATCAAGCGAACCAGGAAGCTCCTTTGTTCCGAGAACTTCAGCAAGGAAAGTGAATATCGACATTTTTTCCTCGATATCTCCATGAGGGGGGCTGATTTGGGAGGGGGACGTATGAGGACAGGACACAAAGACAAACGAAGACACATACTGATCGAGTTTGGCACGTTTACTTGCAGGAGAATCCGACTGAGCTGCAGCAGGGTGGTAGACCACGAGTAGATGATTGATCAGATGGACATCCTGGAGAAGATTGCTCAGAAGCTCCTTCGCGCACACATACTATTGTTGCAGTCAGTCATAGTTCAGGTCACGGATCGCACGTTATCATACCACTTCGCTACCCAGCGATCCTGCGGACAAAAGAATGTCGCAAACTTGAGCCTGCCGTGTCATGCTGAGATGCGCAAAAAGCCTCTCTTCCAACGCGTCCGAAAACAGTTTCCTAACGGCAGTGATTGCATCTACAAGTCGTCAGGCCGCCGCCTGCGTAAAAAAGAAGAAAAAAGTCTCACTTGGCTTGAAGTATGTTTGCAACGCCAAACTAAAGATCTGCCAAACCGAATTTTCAGGGTCTGAGTTCAAATCTCCAACAGGAACGCTAAGGAATGTAGACACCACGAGAGCAGTGTACCGGTGGAAGTTGACGCCGAATAATTTTGAGATGGGAGCTGGGTCCTTGGCCAATGTCTCCATGGCAGATATCACCATGTGCGATCTTGCAGTGTCTGATACGTCATCGACAGAGGACATGATGGATATACGAGCTTCGGGCACTGGATGAGTGACTGCGTGCGACAGCAAGTAACATATCGCTCGGCGCCTGTATCTGAGTCAAGCGAGAAAATCAAAAAGCGAATACATGATTACGCGGCAAACATACTTTGCACTAGCAGCAGCGAAGTGCTGTTGGTGGAATATCTTGATAAAGTTGCCATCTTGCGCAAGGAGAGCGCGGCTTTCGAGGAGAGCCTTCAAATAGGCCTCGAGATCCTTTGCGTCAAGGTACTGCAGGTGTGCTATACAATGAAATGCGCATGAGCTCGGATAGCATGGCAGGCATAGGAAACCTACCAGACTCTGCTCCGTATATAGTGTCCAGCCCATAGACATGTTTCCTCTCCGAGGTAGACGCCAACACAGAGATGCATTCAAATACCAAAGCACGGCCTTGCTTGTCCGTCCGCGCATCCATGAGCACAGCAATGAAGGAAGGCAATACCGTCTGGAAATCGACGGCATTGTCAGAGTTGTGCCCACGTAAAAATGCTAAAGCATGCAAAAGAGCACGGGTTCGCACGCGCTCCAGGACGGGAGATCGCGCAAGAAGGACGCCTAGCAAGAATAGGAGAGAAGCATCTCTTAGGTTTAGGAAGAGCGCCTGGATGAGGTAGGTAGACAGCTGCGATGGAGTGGAACTTCCGGAAGCGACGGAGACAGCGTATAGGTTTTGCATGAGAGTGACATAGCGGTCTTCGATACCCTTCTTTTCAGGTAGCGAATCAATCTAGTGTGTAAAGTGAGCAACTAATAAACCGTCAGGCTCGAGAACATACCAGTGATGGAGTTGTAATCCAAGCAGGAGTACGCGCATCGACTAGTCGAACAGCCGGGATCAACGTCAATATGGACGCCTGAAGAAACATCACCGTGATTCTTCCTCCAGGCTTTGTTGCAACTTTCATGCCCAGCGTATCGTCATTGAGCACCTGCCCTAAATTCAGCAATTGAACTCGGAAAAGAAGAATAGTCATACCTCTTGTAAGTTCGCGGAACTATCTGCGAGATCACCAAAACCATCAACAGAGGGTAACTTCAGGGCGGCCAGAGCCTGCAAGGCTATATCGACCTGTTGTCCACACGACGTGTTGAGTAGGAAAGCGCGGACGACCAAGTAGGCAAGGGCGCGACCGTGCGGTAGGGGGTCATGTAGCTTGGAGAGGATGAGGGAAATATCGCTTAAACTGTCATTGGAAGCAAGGACGTTCTCTGCAGAAAAAAAAATAAGCAAATATAACTCATCAGGAAAACAGACGAACACGCACCTGCAATTTTGGCTGCCACATCGAGATTTGCCTGGCAAATTGCGTTCATGTCCACGTCTGCCTCATCGTTCTCCTCATCGTTCTTGCCACGTAGAAGGTCAGCCTTTTCCCAGATGTCCACGCAACCTCTCAACCATCCAGTTACGGTACTCCCGACCTCCCTCAGCGCCCTCCACACTCCCCGCGCAGTCCTGAACTTGGATTTACTGGCAAGTAGGTACGGAAATAGCACACGTTCTTGTACGGCTCGTGATAATTCTGGGCGCGTTTTGCTGAAATGACCGACAAGGAAAGAAACATGAGCGTGAAGAACGGCGCGAGCTGGCGGGTCCGGAACAACCTGCGAGACAATGGTATCGAGGAGTTTTTGAGGGGTGGTGCTTGAAGTCACCGTCGAGAGGAATAATTCAGGTGAAGAGTACAGCACATGGAGAACTCCAGCGTGTGTATCGTAGACGCGGGCGAGCAGAGCTGATTGTATTGAGGCCTGGAAAGACTGGTGAGTGACAAATACCAGGAACAACAATGCAATAGTGGTACCATGTCAGATGCCTCGAGCGTCTTCCCCCCTTGCAACATTTTGTAGAGTCGCTCGACAGCTCCAACGCGTGTCTCCTTGGTGGAGCTTGTCGAAGCAACAACAATTTCATTGACGTCGGTGCTTTGAGCCCACGGGTGACTCTGAAAATGTGCTCAACTTAATGTCTGTAATAATGATCCACGCCGAGGAAATTCACCACTGAAAACGAGATCATCAATTCGTCCGCTCTCTTCTTCCGCTCTTTCTTTTTCGTTCGCTGGTCGTCGCCCTCGTGCTCGCCCTCTCCGTCGCCAATGATTTCGCTCACGGCATCGCGAAGAATATCAACATGACGCTGATGAACAAGAGACAAGAGAGCACGTGCAGCATTAGTCGTTGAAGTTGCGACAGACTCGTCGTCATTGCCAGCGAGAATTAGCCGTATGAGCGAGGACACCAGACGTTCAAGCAATCTCAGAGGGGTACCCGTAGCGCTGAGAATTGCAGCGTAAAGAGAAGACACGGCAGGCTCTTCGAGTCTGGAAGATAATTAGTCCTTCTCCTCGACAATTGAGTTAGCTTGCGCATACCGGGGCTTGAGACATTCGAGGAGTGGCAAGACAAATTTATCCGCTCCGACGAACTGAACCGCACCTCGAAGTTCCTCCATAAATGCGCTGCAACCATAACTTCAACAGCAAAATACCCGGCATTAAAATTTGGCTTACGGCATCTTTAGACATGAATTCCCTGTGCTTGCGTGAAAAGCCTCAAGTTCCTCTTGAGGTGAGCATACTGCAATGGCAACTTTGATGAAGTGTTCGCTAGATCTGTTGTCCTTCGTATCTCGTTTGCCTTTGGGAGCGGCTGAAGTAGCCATTGCTCCGACGATAGCTACCACGGCAGCAGATGACAGGGACACTTTATGCGAGAGTGTGGAGAGCAGCACGTAACTACCAAGCTAAGGGAGGGTAGAATGTCAGCAACACTAAGGCGTCGTAGATGGAAGACTCACAGTTGCATTAGCGTCACTATGACTAGTCTGGAACGGCGCAAGGAGAGCAGAAAGCAGAAACGCTAGAATGCCTTCATCTAGACCCGGTGAAGATGCGATATAGTCGTGCATCGTGGCTGCGTTGAACGCGACGAGAGTGCGATGAGAGCATGAGCCTAACAGCGTGTATATTCAAGGATGTACTAGAGTGTGTTCAGATGCGTATTCTTACCTCTTATCGCAGTTGGAAGTAATGATGCAATAAATCTGGCCACCGCTTGGTTGGCAGCCATGGCTTTGACCATCGAGCTCCGTGCAAGAGGCGTTGCTGCTGATTTAAATGGTAGCAGAAATGAAAATATGGAAGATGGACTGAGGGAAGGATGTCAAGAACGAAACCGGCCCAAACGAAGATCGAAACGCACGAGATGTGTAGGATCGAGAGCATCTTGACAAAGTGTGGGGATTCGTGATAGGGAAAAAATAGAGAAAGAACTGCATCGACGTTGAATTCGTTGATGCTTCACAGACGTTGTCAGTTGTAGAAGCTCGCAAAATAGTACAGACGCATACCGAAATCTCCTGACGAGCCATTCTAACACTTTGCTTGTGGGTGCTTCCATGAGCCACGGTCCTAACAAAGATAGAAATGCGTTCAACGTGCGATCAAGGTTCGTGTTCACATCCCGAGATTGCATTGTGCGGTCGGTATTCCTTGCAGCCTCGGAGAATAAAGTTTGGTCGAAGTCCACTGGCAGGGAAGACCCATCTGAACCCAATTTTATGGTTCGCGCAGTAAAAGCAGGAGATAATGAGGACAATTGGGCGAAGGCGTTGCTGGCAAGTGCATGGATCGAATCGAGGTCATGAACGTCGGTGTCTCGACCAGTGAAAAGGTAAGATTCTGTCCGTCTTCGTTTGCTGGTGTGAGCCTCGAGAAGAGATGCATTTAGAGATGCGGATGCGGCCAACTGACTCGCAAGTGCAGACGGCATATTACAACGCGTCCAAGTTATCCTGACCAGGTCCTACTAACCGCAACTTCACTATGAGTGACTATGATCTATTCTCTGCAGCCGTTTTCTCGATCAAAAAAGCTGCTGACGTAACAATTTCGAATTCTGCTTTTGGTCAACTTGTTGAAGTCAATCGAAGATCATCCATGCAACTTGATGGCAAGTACTGGCAACACTGCTAGTCTCACAATCCGCTACGGCCCTATTATTCTAGGATTAGGCTACTCTACATGAACCAGATGATCTTCGGGGCCGGCAATCATCGAGGAAGTCTCCCGCCGGGTGGAACGACGACGCCGCTCACTGACGGTAGCTGTTTCGTCGTCTAGCTCTGAGATTTCAAAGTATTTTCCTTTGCTTTGTTGGCATTTATGTTTTCAGTCTTCTGCAACACCTCGTCCCCCTCACCACTATGGCTCGTGGAGGTTCCCACTGTCTGTCCAGTACGTTTACATTCAAGTATTGTTTGAGTCAAAGGCCTATTATTATTGCAAAGAATATATGGGGTGCGGGACTCGAGTCCACGCATATGCATCACTTTGATTTCACCGAAATCTCTGCCTAGCACGAGACTCTGCGGACGTCGTTTCTCCTGAAGTATGTGGAGACGTATTCGAGCTTTCGATTAGGGAATCCAGGTGGAGCAAGCTTTCCTAGGACCAAGCTCTGAGGAGACACCGCTGGTGATCTTTCTGTCTCTGTTCTCACTTTCTGCGGAAGAAATGCACCCCTCGAGGATCGCATCTATTTCGTCAATGCTTGCGCGCGTGATTACTGCAATTGCAAGCAAAGAGACTACATCGTGGATATGCAAGCTGCAAGCCATGGATCTTCATCATCGGCAAAGTTTCCAAAGGACTACCAATTTACAAGCCAGGACTCTGGCCACTCCTCTGGGACCACTTGGCACACCACAACCCTGCACCACGATGCAAAGTATAAACTACGACAGTCAGTGTTAAAATAGCCATCCACGGCAAGTATCTTCCTATGTGTAGTTCATGTTTGTGCGTTTAGTAGCCAACATCCTGCTCAATGAGTGCGACGGCTTTGGCAGAGCGAGGCTTAATAGAGCACTTGAAGGGTTTGAGGTGACTGGAAGTGTGTCTATTCAGACCAGCACCCGGACGTGACAAGATAGGTGACAAACCTGATCGTGCCTGACGAGGGATCAACCTCAGGGGTGATCTCAACACCGTTCTCGACGACCTTAGAGATATCAAATACGGCCAATGACATCGCCGTGGACATCCAGATGGAGGCTTCAGCGAGGTGGAGACCTGTACATGAAAAGCAAGCAACGTCTGAATACATATCTGGTCATCGGCGCTTCTGTGAGTTGGGCATACCTGGACAGATACTGTGGAGCAGAAAGTTAGCATTACACTAAAAACCAACTCCATACTTACCGTCTTCCAAAGCCGAAGCATATTGTGCGAGGCTCTGTCTCAGGCTTCTTTCCGTTATTGACCAAAAACCGTTCAGGGTTGAATTGTGAGGGGTTAGCATATGTCTCCGGGTTATTGAGCATGAACCTGGCATTAGGCTATATTCAGTTAAAATATCGAATGCAGAAGAAAAGGGGGTACCGACCAAATGTTAGGTACCACCAAGGAACCTTTTGGAATGTAGTACCCGTCATGAATATCATCCTCAGTAGCACAGTGGGCGAAACCTGTCATTGAGATACCGTTCGGGAACTAAAGAATGCGTTAAATGGGATACACGGACCGGTAGGGCCAACAGCATGCCATCGTAGGGCTTCTTTTGCAAGCGCCTCAGTGTAGGGAAGAGATTCTCGGTCGGCGAAGGAGGGAAGACGATCGGGACCGACAACATCATCTATTTCAGCCTGAGCCTTCTTCTGCACATCAGGGAATAGTGACATAGCCAGGAAGAGCGAGTAGATTGTAGAAACAGTCTGAGGAAAGAAGTTTAGTACTCTCAGAAGATCATGATAAAAAATACGTCAGAAGGGACCAACCGTGTCGGCACCGCCGGCATATAGAGATCCAGCAGACCATTTCACAACGTGATCATCTTCCACAGACAGAGTACGGCCTTCTAACAGATCCGAGGTAAAAGACTTCGGGGCAATGCCAGCAGCCTATAGCATTCAAACGTCAACGCATGATCGCACAACTACAAATGTTAGTCACCATCTGATCCTTGACGAACTTGTAGGGTGCAGAAACCATCTCATCCATGGTCTCGTGCCATTCACGGGCTAGACGCTTGAAGCCGGCACCAGGGAACCACTCGGGGACTTTGGCCACTACAGATGGTGAGGCCATTGCAAACAAATGTCTGAATGCTATAGCTTACAGAATGGCATATATTCAACCATGAAGGCACCAGGAGCAGTAGAACGCGAGAATTGGTCCAGAGCGCGATCTGCAACGTCAACGAAGGGATCACCGTTCTCTTTCACTTCATAACCATAAGAGATGCGCAGAATGATAGCCCCAGCGGTGCTATAAAAATCAAGATCGTGTCAATGCAAGGACGGATATTACATACTGTCGAATATGTTCCTGTAATTGGTCGGGTGTCGTAAACACGCGCTTAAGGAATCGGCGAGTCTCGACCACTTCGATCTGGCTGTAGACGTCCACTGCAGCGCGGCTGCCAATGACGCGGTGGAAGTTCTTGCGGTACCGGCGTAATTGGTCACCGTAAGGGAGAAGAGTCATGATGTGCTTCCAGCCAACGAGTTCACCGCCAACAGGTAAAAAAGGACGGTCAGAGTACACAGTGCTCTTCTTATCCAACATGTCCACCGCAGTCTTGACAGAGTTCACCACAATGATATGTTGACCCAGAACCTCGATATGCGAGATATCACCTGCAAACAATACTTGAAACATGATGATGTTGGGGAAAGGGGAGGTACTGACCATACTTCTTGCCCCACATAGCGAAGGTAAGCCAGGGCTTGATGCGGGGCGTGTCTAGGACGTTCCCGATGAGAGGCCACCCCGGAGGACCAGGGGGATACGGTGCAGGATTCTTCTTGTTGAACACATGTTTTAACAGATACGCTCCGACACACGCAAGGCATAGGTCGAACCAAGTGATGTTGGTGAGTGCCAACATAGTCTACTAGCAAATGACGAGCAACTCGAGAGTGGGTTTGTGTAGGGAATGGTCTGATACGAGGAGTCGTATCGACTGATCATGTTATTTATACCTGTCATCTATAACACGGATGAAAGTGATCACCGGTCATGCATAATTGCATATGCATCATGCATCATGTCCTGAGGCCTCCGAGTGTACGGCAGGTGTACGGTGAATTTCGGGCTTTCCGGGTTTCGCATAATGAGATTACAATGCGCCCATATGTCAAATTCAGGTAGCCCCCGAGCACATCAGTCATAGTATTCAGGCTAGGCCCGTGCTCCTTGAAAGAAACGGGACCTTTGTCACGCTGACCCATGCGCAGTCACAATTCAGTGCGCCGATAGGATCATAATCCTCGATATTCTCGTCATCCAAGATAAAGAAGTTGAAGCCGTACTGTGGGCTTGAAGGTTCTAGGGGGTTTTGAAGATAAAGAGATAGTACTTAGCTGAAGTTTATTTTTCGTTTCACAATCCAATGCATAGTTAAAACTTTGTCTGTTTGACGAGCTAGCCGCTATAGGTATTTACCAAATTCACCCAAAGTTTGAAATTCACACCATGTGATGTGAATCTGGGAAGGGCATTTTGGGGGTGAATTAACGCTAATTTACAGGTGTAAATTTACGCCCCTCTATTTGACCGTACACTAGCCGTACTACTACTACTACGCCCTAGCATCAGGGACCCTGGCACTACCACGGAGGACCAACCGCCTTGGTACCACAATGAACACGACAGCAAGGATGCTTGCTTAGCCACGTTCCACGTTCCAAGGGGCCTAGCATCTATGATTGTCGCCTGAATAGTGGTGATGGAAACACTTCACTCTGGTTTCTGCTGACAGTCAGTTCGTTCCCCCTTCCTGACCTTTGGCTTTCAAAATAACAGCACAGATCTGCAAGTCGGCAAGTTGATGTGAGTCTACACATACCAGCGAGTGGGCTTCTACGCGCACAGAGGAAGGTTGTTCAAGTGTGACCGAAAAAGAAACTAAAGTTCGGTTAGATCCTTGGCCCGCTGTGCACTCAAACTATGGTAGTGCACGAGCGTCCTGTGAAGATCGCGGCCGTGTTTGGTTAGCCTGGTCGTGATTGAGTCCGGGATCATCAGATATATGGAAGCTTCACGTGCTACGGACCCGGTCGAGCGACAAAGGAAACAAATTAAAGACTGGCTCCGCGGGTGACTTTGAGAGGTGACGACATGGATTCATCGCGCAGCGCTTGCGAGATGGTGCACTAAGCATGAGGATATCTACCCGCGAGCTGTTGGGTCGTGTGTCAAGCTCATCCGAGGTCTGGTTGTTGGTCGTTGACGGAAGAGCCTACAAATATGCTCATCGTCATTATGACCTTCGTGGTTCGGTCGCTGTTGAACCCAGAGGGTGATTACGGCAAGGTAATATCATTGGTGGTTTGTAAATACAAGAAGCAGATTTGCCTCTCTATCAAAAAGGACTGGTATATACTCACATGGACTACCACCGGGGTCGACCGGGACCTTTGGCGCGGCTCAAGATGAATCTTCTTTATGATGCTATGGTTGGCTTAGCCATGAGCCACCCTCTCCTCACCTTGTCACCTGCGATTGCGGTAATCATGCGAGCATTAATATCGACATCATCGGGCGGCGCAGTTCCACCACCGAAAGTGAGAACGGAGACAGTAAGATTGCTGCAACCGTCCTCTGTCTCTATAGAGGCACAATGCCAACAATACCGTGGAAGGAGCAGCAGGACGCCATGACGAAGGAAGTTGAACTGGGAGGGATCACAACGTACCAGGCCATGAAAGCCTTGGGCACGATTGGAGCGCCAATCCTGAGTGGAGTACAAGCGTGAGTCAAGAGTGGAAAATCAAAGGGGCTCCAGTGGAGCGCGCACATGGGGGCGACGCGAATCGGTTCCGCGGGATCAAACACCTGGTCCTTACATGGTTGAAACATATCATGGCAGCGCGGAGTCTGAACACTTCTTGGTTAGATGTGTTTACCTAAGAACAACTTCCGGAAGTCTTCTTGACAGGAGTCCATCACAATCGAGCAACGGGGTGCAACATTTTCAACAAGTATGTCCTTCAAGTTAGCACTTACGGTATCTGACGTCTTCCAGAACTCTTCTAACAATCGGAATTTCTGATTATGCGTGACCTCGACTGAAACGATCTACGACTAGCGATTTTAGCAAGCATTGCCTCTGGGCGCTTCTTTCTGGCTGTATTCAAATGACCCCGAGCAGCGCACTGACACAACGAATCTCCCGCGTTTGCCCCTGGTACGTCTTGCGTTCGCTTGATCATCCAAAATTCCTTAATCCAACACTACTTTTACCCAGCCGTTCAGTTGAAGATGAATGCAAACACCGTGACGCCCCAGTGCTACAACAGCCAGCTCAAACCGTCATACCATGGAACAGGACAGCGATACACCAGCCCCACTGATGGGAAATGCAAGCAACTCATTGTGCAGTCTGTGAACCCCAGGTCGACGAGCAATTGGGAAGAACACACGTTTTACTCAAACATCCCACTGTCCACGAAGCTTGCTGCGTGGCTAACAAACACGATCCTCAACCCATCTGAATATGTCCTTCTATGGTTATTCGTCTGGGCAATTTATGTTTTCGCATTATGTATTCCATCCAGAGAGCCTGCATTTGCCCATTCATACAAGCCGTATTTGATGCGGTTTGTCGGTCACCTGTGGGCTCCACGTTCCCAGAGGGAATACTCTCTACAGTCACGAACAGGTGAACATGACGGACTTGTCCGACGCATCACCCATGCCCTATATCCTCGCTTCCTTGTTGTGTACGATGCAACGACAGGAATATGGACGAGAGCAGACATCCTATATTGCTATCACGTACTGTTACCCTGACATGATGAAGTCCGGAAACGGTCTGGAGGTGCTCATACAACGGTCGCGGGATGTTACCTTGGATCAAGGATTTGATGCGTACTGGCTAGATCTCGAGTGCTTGTTCGAAGATCCCGCACAGAAAGCCCAAGACCTGTATCGCATGTCGGATGTATACAGACGCGCCTCGTTCACGCTCATTGCGCTCAGCGATGAGAGTGGCTGGGCTGCTTGGGGCGGGCGCGTTTGGACCCTGCCGGAAGCTCTCCTTAGTAGCGAACTGCGATACAAGGTCGGGGATAACGCGGTCACTCCTGTCAACCTCTTCCAAATCGCCTCTTTAGCTTACTCGCACTATGACGAAGAGTCCCAGATTATCAATTCTTTTGCCATCTGGAAAGATACGCTCGACAGACTGGACCGCAATCTCCAACTCAAAGAAGCAATATGGCGCCGAGAAAGCTCTTCCTCTCAACTCGCGCAAGGAGGAAATTCTCAGGGGAGATATCACGCAGAGAAGGTCTATGCGCTCATGGGATTTTTTGAACGTCGCATTCTCCCAGATGCAGCGGAGACAGAGCTGCAGGCGCTTGCACGTTTATTTATGGCGAACGATAACGACCGCATCGCTGATCGCATGATCTCAATGTTTCCCAGAGATCGAAAAGCCATACATCAATGGTACACCAAAGAAGACGAATACGGTGCCAAGCTTTGGGACATCGAGCCCGCTGCACAGGTCATTGGCATCACATCTAATGGTGCTCTTGTGCTGGATAGATGTCGGGCGGCGGCCATTAGGTGGAAGAACTTCCCATCCGTCGCGTTTGCTACGAGGCGCTCGATCCGAAAAATTGTGGCACTCATAGTGCCGTACTTGTGCATGATCCTGATCGTGGCGGGTATTGCCTTGAACAGACTTGGGTGTGGGACCATCTTTGGTCTGTGTAACATAGAAAGAGACTTGCGTGATCCCATAGCAGCGGCAGGCCTTGGCCTACTGATCAGCTCAATCGTTCTGATGCTTTTTGCACCATGCTTGACAACTTATGGACACTCCGGTCGAGTAGTCTCTGCTCGTCCGTGGCTGATTGGGGTGAGGGGAGTCATCTCTGCCCAACAAGCTTCCAAGTGCCTGTATGGAGGTCAGGTGGGCAATTCTCGTCGTACCTTTTACACCCCTTCAGGTTCGTTGTTGGCGAAACCAACGACAAGTAATTCCAAATTCCGCGAAGGCCACGTTTCGCAATACAAAGCAGCTCTTGCAGCTCCACCATTTGACCCTATCGAAGGCCACATGTTCACCCTCGTCGATACTGTATCTGGGACGATCTACTACTTCCGCGCGCATAGGCCACCCACGGTTTGCCTGTTTACGGGAGCAGAGGGTGGACAAGGGAGGTTTGTTCTGTGTAGTGGGAAGTGCAGCAGTAGCGAGCTGCAACGCGAGACGGTGCTCCGTATGCCGAGCTTCATCTCGACCTACATGCACACATGTGATTGGTGTTGGATGTTAAACATCGACGTATTTCCTTTTCTCTGTTTCCTTTCTCTGTTTCCTTTCTCGATTTCTCGATCATGATCACGGACCCTTTAGAATAGATTATAATCTTATTGTTTCGCACTGTTTGTACCTCAGCGGTTATTCTCCAACGCTGAGGTATGGTTCATGTTCACATATGCACGCCGTCTCTCACTTACACTATTTCGTCTCTAGACGTGTCCTTTAGGGATTATCAATACACAGCGGTTATTCTCCAACGCTGAGACGTGTCCTTTAGTTTCTACTTTCTACAGGTTATGAGCCCCGGCTTCATTTAAGCCAGACAACCGAAACTTTAAACACAATTCACTCACGTGCTGCCCGCCGCTCACATAATTCACATTTACCAACGACGGTATCGTTATGGGTAAACATGACCATATTCCCGAGCTGCTCGGTACGGAAAATTACGTTGGCTGGGCCACCAAGATGCAATACGCACTGGCGTGCGAGGACTACTGGTGTCATGTCAACACTAAATCCGAACCTGGGGATCTTCTCGGACATCCCTCCTATATCCCTGTGCCAGTCAACAAAGATAGTCCCACGGACGCCGAAACGGCGAAAATGCGTGAATGGCTATTGAAGGATATGAAGGCCAAGGAACTTATTACACGACGACTCGCCTCGTCCGTTGCTTCCCTCGTTCCTCGTTCTCACACAGTCACAGCGCGTAAAGCTTGGCAAGTTCTACAAGAACATTTCAACCGCACCGACATGAGTGCACAGTACCTCCTCAGACAGCAAGTCCAAGCTTTGCGGATGAAAGACTCCGCCGACGCTACGTCATATGTAGCACAGCATGCAGTCTTCCGCGAACGTTTGATGGACGCGGGCGCACCCTGGGGGGAAACAGATGCTATCTACCACATGTTGATGGGACTGCCACAGACCCTGATCTGGCAGCAATTCAAATCCCTACTCGAACAACGTATGCACGATGAGTCTATGAGCACCGCCATCACATCCGTCCCTACCTTCACCTTCGAGTCTTGCGTTTCACGCATCACATCCGAAGCCGCGCGACATGTCGTCACACAACACGTTCATTCTGCCCGCCCAGGATCCGAGTACGCTAATGTTGCTACAGCCTCCTCATCGTCGGGAACGAACCCCATCACCGGCTTGCGCATGCATAGGCACAACCCACAGGGAGTGTTTTGCACCACCCCTGGGTGCAATAAAGGCGACCACGACCACGCGCACTGTTACGGAAAGGGGGGAGGAATGGAGGGTCAGGCACCTTGGATGCGGAATAAGAAGAAGGAATCTGGCGAGCGAAAGGACAATGCGGTTGCGGCAGTTGTTGTACCCACTGCAACACCTCCACCTCCTGCTCCGGTCGTTGCAGCTGTTGCTACTGATCTTGCAAGTCTCATGCAGGACCTCTCTTTTGTGTCCATTGCAGAACTGCCTGACAACGTTGCATGCGTCTCCTCGCTCCCCTTCACTACCATCCTCGATTCTGGAACCACCGTCACACTTGTCAAGGATCGTCGATTCTTCCACACCTACTCTACTGAGGACCCAATCAACGTTCTCACAGCCAACCACGGTGTGTTGCAGACGACTGGACGGGGTAACTGTGTCGCCTGGTTCACAATCGGACAACGTCGACTTCGCGTTCGATTGTCAAATTGCCTACATGCACCCGACGCCCTGCTCAACTTACTCTCAGTCAGTTGCATGAACGCAAAAGGGTGGGATATCAATTTCCGTTCCAACATGACGTGCGAACTGGCATACAAGGGGACTCACATTGGCGCCATCCCGGCCATGGGTAAGCTGTATGCGCCGGACTTAGAGTTTATCCCGTTTGCGCACCCACCAGCACTACCCATCATTCCTGACGTCACAGCGTTCGCACATGTGCCTTTGTCACTCAACTTATGGCATGCTAGGATAGGGCACATCGGGAAGGAAGCCGTCTTACGTCTGGGTCGCGTCGCTCAAGGCATTACCATCAATTCCTCGACACCACTCTCCCACTGTGAATCATGCATCATAGCCAAACACCCTCACCAACCATTTCGCACCTCTGAAACGGAACGCGCGTCCAACTTCCTCGATCTCATCCATGCCGACGTCTGCAGCCCAATCCCCACCCTTACCCCCCATGGGAAGTCTTACTTCATCATTTTCATCGATGATGTTACAGCGGCCCCATCATTTTCTCATCATCATGCTTCTCCGATCTATTCCTGTTATCTCTGACTGCTTATCAACATGCATTGCATGAACATTCTAGATACTTCCGTCTATTCTTGTTATCTTTGACTGCTTATCAACATGCACTGCATGAACATTCCAGATAGTTCCATGACATTCTTCTTGACTCCTTTCACTTCCATAGTCGGCCTGGTCCGTGCCTCCTCTGTCCATTATAAATACCGCAGTAGTCACACTTGTACTCTCTAACTTGAATCTACTTGGTTCTCTCTGATACTTGATCATCTTCTGAGGAAGATACCTGATTCCGATCTAGCTCTTATAGAGACTAGCCTATACTCGAACTTCACTTAGAGGGAGAGCCCCTCAAGTGTCTGAACCGAACGTCGTAACACGAAGAATTCCTTTATTGGATTAGTTACGCAAGAACTATCCAAGTTGTAACAAAAGATTCAAGTTTCTCTGAACCCCTCTATCACCGAGGGGCCCACTCACCCTGAAACCCTGAACCCAGAATAGAAAGACAAGACGTCTTCCCAGAAGCTAAGCTCGGCTAAGGCAAGACACGCCGCCGGAAGAATCCTAGGAGGAGACCCATACCCCAGAACAGAAAGAACTCCTACTCAGACTCCTCAGAGCCCATTCGCATCCCTATTAGCAGGACCATCCGCTATAACCAGAGGGGTCATTGCATCACCAATAGGACATAGTTCGATTGAAGGGTTATCCCAGAGCCAAGAACCGTCGCAACAAGAACATCCCCAGAACCCACCCGTTGATAAAGACGAAGAAATCCTTGACGCTCCGCCGCTTGATCTTGACGATGAGGAAGAAGAAGACTACAAACGAAGAACCCGAAGAACCAGAAGAACCCGAACCTCAAGTATCCACTATGGCGGGAAGAGGAGACAAACACATTGAACGGAAAATTGGGTACCCACCTGACTTTTCCGGAGATAGGGAGAAATTTTCCCAATGGCTGTGCCTAGTTGACTCATATATCGAAATCAACGATGAAATCTACGACACCGACAAGCGAAAAATCATCTTCGCTCTTTCCATTCATGAAAGAAGGAGCAGCAGCTCTCTGGATGGAAGATTTCATCACCTTTACCAGAGAAAGAAAACCCAACCTCGATAACCGGAGCAAAGAACAGTTTTGGAACATGGGGCGAATTTCACTACCAAGATGAAAGAAAGCTTTTCCC